CACAGGACTCTTTGTCGTTGTGAGTACAGTATTCTGATTTCACTGCTACTGGTAATGCCCTCTCGTTAGCTCAGTTATGAGATCCTCATTAGTAAAGTGAGGTCATGAAGCAGAAGTGGGGAAAGGGAAATCAGCAAAGCTCTAAGCGGGGATGCTGTAAATGAGCAAAACCCCCTTGAGCTGAATAGAACAATGGAGCAGTTGGTGTCCTGATGTGGTATAGCAGGACTTTACACCCAATGATATTTATGGGTCAGTGTGTGGCTCAGTGCCTGCCAGCTCCAAAAGCAAATCCTCCTCCCAGTGTGTGATAGGAGAACCCTACAGAATTCAGAGGGATTAAACTATTGTAGAAATTACTTTAAAAACCTAGAGAATCAGACCCTTTTTGCAGGCTATTTTGAACGATCCTCTAGGCTGCTGTGAGCGGGACATAACCCTTGAATAAAGAATTATCACTGTTCTGTTCTATTCTAGATAGGTTTTTATCTGAGTGCCTTCCAGTAGTGCATTAAGCAACGTGACTACACATCTGTCACATGTTGTTGTTTCTCTCATCTTTTCTCCGGGAGGAGGAGTGTGTGCAGTGGAGTGTCATGTTTTGGTAGACGTGTGGTGAATTTTGTTGTTGTTAAATAAATATACCCATTGTTATGTGTTTATATTAGAGAAGGCAGGTCAAAGGAATACATGTGGCACTTGGAGAAGGTTTGTGATGGTCCTGAGTTCATTCCAGAGCCTCAGACTATGCCCAGGACCGGATGCAGACAAAACTCCTGTCCTGATTAAAAAATTGAGTCATGTATTAGAATCGGCCCAAATTCAGCAAATGCCACTTGGGGGTTCTTCAGCAGCTCCTTCCCTCCTCCCCTGTATAACACAGGTTGCATTAAGATGGTCGTCATAATTTTGGCCATCCTCGCTCTTAAGGTGAGCATGTAACTAACAGAGCTGAGAGGGAGGAAAGACTGGTATGTCTACGTCAGGTTGAATTAACCCCATTGAAATAGCTTCTTTATTTGTTTCATTCCCTGTGTACCAAGCCACATACATGCTCAGCTCTGCCACAGCTGCTTAACATCAAAGTCAGGGAGTGCACCAAAAACAAAGGGTAGCTGCTCCTCTATGCCTGTGACTTGGAGCTCTTCCATGATGGGTGAGGCTGAGAGCTTTTCCCTGGGATCTCTTGGGCTTTTGCTCTCAGTGCATCAGTTTCGCTTGTTTGCACTGTCAGACAGTTCTCCCATACCTTTACGTAACCTCTAGACAGGTCCTTCTATAGAAACTCCTTGGGACAGGGACTGTCTCAGACAGGATTATCAGCACTTAAATAGCAACTGGATGCTAACATTGAAATTAGGAGGTACAGTTAGCAAGGCTAGATATGGGGATCCCCTAAAAATCTCCAGAAGAGTCTATCTCCAGAATCAGAAGGAGAGAGTACTTCTTGCAAATTCAGTAAAATCTCCCCATTTGCTATGAGAATTGGGTATATTTTTCCCCACATGATGATCCTTCCCAAGGGTTGAGTCCCATAAGGAGTGTGGAATAGGGCTCAACTGCCTAGGTGTATTACGGAGACAGGGTAGCTGAACTGCATGTAATATACCAGACATGGGATACTGTCCTTAGCAGATACTGGTCTGGTCATGCAAATCCTGCATTCTTAGCCCTGAAGAGCTGACATAGCTAAGAGAGAATGAGCCAGATTCTGTTGCTTCTTGTGCCTCATCAGCATAGCTACATTTACAACATTTCAGTCAGTTATGACACCTGTGCACTGCAGCGACTGGGTTGCATAAATATTAATGGAGTTTTACAGGTGTTGTTATGGGTATTAGGAGACAATAGAGTTGCAGAGGTGTCATTAAAGGAACAATTAGGAGGCTGTGGGATTACACAGGTATTGTTGAAGGAATAATAAGGAAGCAATGGAGCTGCACAGGTGTCACTGAAGGCATGACTTACCTGCAGAACGTTTCTTAAAGCTTATCGCAACACAGAGAGAGAACCCTGCTTGATTGGGAGAGCTCAGACTGAGTTTTCAGGGCTGGCTTTTAGTTGAAAAACGTTTTAGAACTTTTGTCTTGTATGGAATCAAAGAGAAGGAACAAGCATGGGAACCCCGTGCGGTCAATTTTCCAGGGGAGATCCATGCTTGTGGTACAGCCGGCCTTCTGCCTCTGCTTGAAATGGGCTACTAGGGGAAGAGAAACAGGGCAGGGGGAATGAATAGGTCTCTGCAGCACAAATGTCTTTTGGAATAAACATGCAGCACCATCCCCTTACTCAGCCTCAACAATGCAATTTTTTCACCTCCCCATGGTGTGCTATTTGGCTACAGGAGGGGAGCTGTCAGACTCCAAGCTTACATAGTCCCTCATCCTCCAACAAGTGTCATGGTATTGCTGCCCTCCCCCCTGATGCTTCCTAGCTTCTCTGCACTCTCAGAATTCCCTTTATAAAAATAAACGGTTAACTATAAATGGAGAAACCAAAGGAATGAGTCACTGAGAAGGCTAAAAAGAAGGGCAGCCCAGCTGTGCCTTTGCAGGCAGTGAGAACCTGCCCTGTAAGCTCCTCAAGTAGCGTCTCTCCCTCCCTGCTTTGCTGCCCTGTCACTCGGTCTGTCTGGCATCAGAGAGAAATGAGAGCTTTTCTGCCTACTGAATGTCGGCTGCACTTCCCTGCATCCCACACATACACAGCAGAACAGCGTAGAGGTACTTCTGGCCCAAGTGTTTCTATAGCAGGGAGGCCTGGTGGAACGCATGCTTACACGGTGTCACATGACCCCTGCCCGGGGGAGGGGGAGGGGAATGGGGATTCTTAACACTGGCAAATGAAGTTCTCCTCCAAAAAATGGGGGTTTAGTGGCTAAAATTTTTGCAGAAAAACTTCATTTTTGTCTTCATTTTTTGACATTGCAGGGGAAATGTCTCACACTCTTCAATTTTTTTTTTCCAATTGGGGCGCCGGGGGGAGAGTAGGGGGTTTTCCCACTAAGGTAGAAGTAAATTGTTTTTTGAAATTTTTAATAGAAAAAATTTGAATTAAATGAAAAATGGAATTTAAACATGTTTTTTTCTTTGCATAATGACCTTGCCTTTTTTCACCCAGCTCTAGCTGTGATGTGAAATGAATGGAGCGGAGACCCACTCTCCTGCTCCTGAGGCCTTGCTGTAACACACATCACATAAGCAATTTACTAATCTATAACCCCTTCTTTTCACACAGCAACTGACATTCTGCATTGCCAGGGCTTTGCTAGGCTGACGTAGATGCGATCGTGAGTCAATATTGAAAGTGGCTTAGGGTTTGTGTACACCCTGCCTTGGAATTGTGCCCAGACCTCTTCAACATTCCTCTCTGTATGACAATTTTTCCCTTGCAAGACTAACTTCCTTCCCACATGAACCCTTATAGCATTCAGCAGTGGCCTTGCTACCAGGGGCGATGTTTTCCAGTAGGCACTTTAATGAGAGGGTACTTGCAACTCATGTACTCTTGGGAGCAGTGGCTCTTTCTTCAGTGATCAACAGCCTGCACCTCGCACAACTTCCTCCATTCTCATTGCCAGTGCAAGGTGCTGCCTTGACAGCCCTGGAGATCAAAGCACACTAGCTAAAACCACCAAGCAGGGGCAGCAGCGGAAGGGGCAGGAAAAGCTTTCTTGGTCTGCCTCACCCCTGACTTGGAGGAGCCACCAAGAGGGATTAGGAGGGAGCTCAGTCAGCCCTCGGCCTCTCTGAGCTTGCCACAAACGGGGGCTAGTGGTTGGGTCATCTTTTGCTACAGACTCTTGCCTCTGGGAACCACAATGAGACGCACCAAAGTCATTCCAAATGAAGGACGTGTAGGTCCTCGTGATAGGAGATCGTGGAACCGGGCAAAGTACAGTCAGGCAGGGCTCTCTCATTAGCATTTGAAGGGTGAGAGAAGCTTCCTTGGAGAGGGACGGCCTAATTCTGTCCCACATTCATGAAGGAGCGCCTTTGCATGCCAGTGAATGCTCATCCCAAGCAGGGCGCTCAGCGCACAGAAAACCTCCTCAAACCTGAAATGCTGGTTCTAAGCGAACCACTCAGGAGAGTAGAAGCACCTCACCATGAGTCAGAGGGAGGCTGAGTAAAGCTAGTCACATGCCTAGCAAATACATGCAGTTGCTATGGCCAGCATTGTCAAGAGAGGCCACTGACTTGGGCTTCCTCCATTTTTGGAAGACAAACATGTGACATTGTGGGGGCTAATTTTGAGAGGTGCGGCGCAACCACAACTCCAAAAGAATTCCCTGGGAGCAGCAGGTGCTCAGACAGGACCCTTAAACATCTCATTTTGACAGCTCAAAAAATTGGACACCCACAGTTATTGGACACTTGAAAATATAGGCCTTCCTCTTGTTCATTTCTGTAAGGGTGTGTCACTGTAATCCAGTGTGTGACACATGCACTTCTCAGAATGCAGGGGCAAATGAATGCTTAGAAATCACTCTATTTCCTTGTTAACAAGCTACTACCGTATGTGTATTGCGCTGCTGAGATTCAATAATTGCTGGTTTTCTATTTGTCGCCTCCCTTATGCTTTCATGGCTGTACCAGAGAAGGCCACGCGAGCTTGTATGAAATGCCTTTAGACATCTCTTTGTTTGGCTTTTGCTGGCAAAGTTGCAGACCTCAAGGAAATCCTATTGAAGTCATGGCCTGACAGCTTCAGCTGGAGAGGTGCCGCTGGGCAAGGGCAAAGGGGGAGAAATCCTGAAATGCTTCCTTATCCCCTCTGTTCTCCTTAGCCCTTCAACAAAAGCTAAGGTTTCTTGCCCAAAATGTTCCCTCCCATTATCTTGGGTATCTCCAGGAACCACAGAATGTCCTGCATGGGAACAGCCAGAAGTCCATCTAGCCTGGCAGTCGGCCTCTGACAGAGGTTGATACCTGATGCCTTAAAAGTAGCCAGCCTGTTCACCACTGTTAATGTGCCTGGTCAATTGAATATTGACATACATTTTGGGGCTGAGGAGGATGGTCTCCTGACTGTGTCATGATCAGTTTAGGGCAGGCACTGAAGGCTGTGACTGGGACTCCGTAAAGCACACAGTGAGGGAACATCTGCATTTTCCATTTTGTCAAGAATTGACAGGAAACTCTGGGTGAGCGTGGGGGCGGGGAAGCTATTTGCCATGTTCATTTATATTCTTCTCTCTGGGAGATCCTCTCGGGTTTCTCTGCCACTTCTGATCACTGCTTCTTCTGGAGCCCAGCCACACTGCTCCCAACACAGTCTAAAAGGGAGTGTTTTAACAAGTCAGCCGTTCCTTCCCGTCCTACCTGCTGCTGCTGAGTGTGATCTCTCTGGGACATAAAATTCAACCCCTGAGTGAGACCGCTTAATAGCACTCTGGTGAGTTGGGCAATATTATAGTCCTCAATGGACCCCCTTTCCTGGCAGCATTAATGTAAATAGCAGCCCGCCTGGCATTCATGAATCCAGGCCAAGGCAGCTTTTGCAAAAACCCCATCCTTGATACATATTAGCAACACTCAGAGTGGGTGGGGTTGAGAATCCTAAGCATTCAAGTGTCTGAAGGTGTGTGTGAAATTGCAGGACAATGGTCACGTTTCAACCTACAGCCAGCAATGTTCTGGATCTGTGAACGATCCAGGAAGGAAGATATTTTTAGTACCATGTATTCGCTGTATAATTATCAGGTGGTGCGGAAAACACAACCCAAACAATTGCAATGTTTCTTTTTGACTCTAATAGGGTATGTGGTTCTTAGAACAATTTTTTTTTGGTGGCTCAGGGTGTGGCCACTAACCCTTGCTGGTGGCCGCTCTGACAGTTTTTCCAAGCCCAAACCCCGCCGCACTGGGCTGAAAGCCCAGAGCCAAAGCCCAGGGGCTGAAACCTGAAGCCTGCTGAGCACACACACACTGGGTCCGATGTGTCTGCAAAGGTGCTGCCCGGAGCCCCCAGGAGGCTGCGTGGTGCAAGGCGCTGATTTCCCCCCAGCCCCCCAACTGGTGGTGCCAGCATGGCAGCCAGCAAGGCAGCCAGGAGCAACAGCTAGACGCTACTGGGAAGGGTCACTGCTTTGCCACCGTGCCCCCGCCCCCAGCCCCATCTCAGCCCAAGAGGCTGTTGTGGTTGCAGAAAAATCCCCTGATGGCTGCATGCAGCCACAGTGGCTGCAATGAGAAATGCAAACCCTCATGCTGCAGGGCACAAGCCAACCTCTAACTATTGGGGGTCAGGAGGAAGCATTCCCCAGGGGCAGGTTATTCCATAACTGCCTACCACGGGGTTCTTGCCCCTTCCTCTGAAGCAGCTGGTGCTGGCCGCTGTCAGAGACAACAGACTGGGCTAGATGTGCCACTGCTCTGGAAATTCCTGTGTTCCTAAATTATCCCACACTGCTTTCTTTTTACACCCAGTGCCTTTACAGCTAGTTAATCTAGACTCTCAACGTGTTTATGATGGTGGAGTAGATTATGTGTTAAACTGAAACTTTGGCCAGTGGGACCTTGGAACCCTACTGCAATCTCTTGCAAAAGTAACAATATTGCCAAACGAAAGGCAAAGGGCACTGGCTACAGCATTATCCAGGGGTTTGTATAAGAAACGCAGCCACGCTGTGCAATGGTGGAAACTGCTCTTAGGGCAAAATTCTCTTTGCACAAAGGACTGTAAAGAGCTGCCTAGAAGAAGCCGTTGGCAGTGCACAACACCACATTTTATGGGTCCTACAAAATCCAGGAACTGTGCTATCTGTTCTTGAGCTCTAGCTGCTGGCTCTTTATCTGTTAACAATGTATGTTTTCTATCGATAAAGAGCACTCCTGTTACAGGAACCATCTGACTGGTATAAATTTCTCTGTACAGAATGGCCCAATTCAGCCTTGTCCAGCACTTTGTGCAGTCACAGCAAAGTGGGTGTCTAACACCACTGTTCTGATTTGGTAGCACTTTGCACAAGGTGTAGGTGACTGCACACGGTGCCAGGCGAAGAAGGAATTGAGCCTGGAATGTCTATAATGAAGTCTCGAAAAGGGGCAGCCGAGGCTCAAAACTGCTGAGTAAAGCGTTGGTCCAGGAATTAGAGTTCCAGTCCTGACAGGGTTTAGTCTGTAATTTTCACGCATTAGGGTATGTTTAGCGAGCAGCAAAAACTTTAAACGCTTTTGCTGAATGATCATCACAGTGAGTCACTGGAGGGGCAGGTTGGGCTGTTTGTGTTTGGGAGGCACGGGAGGCCCTTGTTCAGCATTTCAGCCTAGTTGAAAGTGCCACGAATGAGGCTGCTTCTCGGAAAAATGGCATGAACTGGAGCTGAACAAAATTTTTGCACCCAAATGACCTGAAATGGCCCTGGCTTCAGACAGCTCCACAAGCCTGAAGCTCAGCAGGGTCACTAAGATTTGGGCACATGGGCCAGTTCCTGTTTTGCTTGTGCATCAAAATGCTTCCAAATTTGCAGTGCGGCTGCAAAAAGAGTTGACTCAGCAATTTCAGCTGGGTTTCACAGTGGGTCCTCAGTGCTAACTAGGGAGAGGAATGCAAACCCACGAGGGTTTGCGGGGTGGAGGGCAGTGTCAGTGGCACTTAACTTGTTAGGCTGTGCTGAATGCCGCAGCCCCTCCACAGAATTCATGCCATTTCTTTAGTGAGTTAGTGTCCTCTGCACGTGAACTTTGGTGAGCAACTGCCAATGCTCGGTGGAGACTATCTTCACCCCTGCCCTGCCCTGTCCAGTAGAGATGGAATAAGGCAATCTGGAGTGCCAAGTCCACTCCCAACAGGGGTGCTTCCCAAGGCCACCATGCCAGCAGCGGGTGCACCAATGGTGGTAGCTCTCTGGCAATAGCTGGTGTTCCTTCCCCGGTGGGAGGTTGTCTGCGCGTGCAGGCAGACATGTCTGCCCTGGTTACAGTCAAGTCATGTTTTCAAGCTTTTCTTCACAACCAGGAGGCCTAGGAACATATATAAATGAAAGCTGAGATTCAGATGACCTAACATGGGTAAAACTCATGCCCAGCACTTTATACACATGGTATTTGAGGTGTTTTTTATTATTTATTATTTATTTTGTATTGTTGTAGCGCCTTGGAGCCCCAGTCATGAATCGGGACTCCTTTGTTCTAGGTGTTGTGTATATACAGTTGTGAGTTTTCTTACCATCCACTTATTAAACCTTTCAGAACACCCAGGAGACACATGGAGTGGCTGTGCCAACCCCTTCTGTGCCGGAGGGCTTTGAAGAAAAAGCATCTCTAGGTAAGGTGTCCTCTCTGCTGAGGTATTCAAAGCCCTTAAAATGGCTTTAATGCACAGATCTGCTTATGTTGCCGTCACCGTTCCTTAATCATGCAACTAGTTTGGCTGAAGACAATATACCAAGGCGTCAGGATCTGGCCTCCTGTGTGTTTCCACACAAACTGAGTAAGCTTTCAGTTGCTGGCTGACTTGAGGAGGATTCCAAGTGTCCTTAGGGAAAAGGACTGAAACACAGTTACGAGATGCTGTCATCAGATGAAGCCAACACCTGCAAAGCATGTTGGGTTAGTTTTTTCTGTGATGCAACCATGGCAACTATCAAGAGTTTTTTAAACATATATAAAGTTATTCCATTGTTGACATGGAAATTTGGTTGCTTAATTTGTTCCCTTATTCTGTAGGAAGCATAGGAGGTAACTAAATTTTGTCTTGACTCTAGATAGTGACTGTGATAATAAGAAGTCAGGAGACTGAATATGCTTTTCTGCCAAGTATTACATAATGTCTTGGGAGTCCTGAAACAATCTCATTCTAGTTGTTTCCTTTGTGGACCCAGTTTATCTGGTTTCATATATTTTATATGCAAATCAGTGCATCAGAAAAGACAGAGACACACCGAGGGAAAGTACAATACAAAATAAGTTAGTAGCAATCGCTAACTTAAAACTCGTGAACCCCAATCAAAATTCCATAAGTTATGGAAGTATCTGATAGAAGTCTACAATGTCTTTTCTTTTTTTTTATTAATTCCTTCCTAATTTTCATGACCAAATGAGCAAAAAATACATTGCAGGATCTCCCAGTGCAGAAAGAAGCCAAGAGACCTTCTCTTGTCTATTAACCTCAACTTGTTTTTAAGAAAAGGCTCAATCCATTTTTTTCTTAGTGGTGAGATATAACTCTTATGTTAGAATAATTATGAACTAGGATCTTCAGATGACTCATTCCACCTGGGCTGAAAGGTTTACAGGTATTATCCAGGCCACCTAAGGAGGTGCTAGGTGCCTTCAACTGCCAGTGAAGTCAACAGGAGTTGCGGGTGCTGCGCACCCTCAAGATTAAAGACCTAGAGATTAGTATATTTCATATACTCCATAGAGAGCCTGGTACAAGCTATACCTGCTTCATTAGGGTCTGCCCCTGGGATTTTAGTTGCAAAATCAGGCCCTTTTTCTGGGCATCTCCTAAAGATGTATGGAACGCAAGCGCGCTATTAAGGAGTGAGTTGCAATGGCTGTGTTGCTGCTAAAATCATTTTAAATCAGGTTGTTTTAAATGAAATGCTTCCAGCTGGTTGTGTGACACTTGGCTCTTCTTAGAAGGACAGTTTTGCTGGAGATGTTCTCTGTATGGACCTTGCCAATGTGCAATGTGTTTAATACCAATGTTCTTTCCCATAGGCCTTAGGCCCCAAATCAATGGAAACTACAGACTGTACAATTCAGTTGGAGACCTGCGGCCAAAGGCTTTCGAGAGGGACTATCTGGACAATGATATTCCTCCACCACCTCCAATGGCCCCACCCCCACCTCCACCCTCCATGGCACCCCCACCCCCACCAATGGAAATACCACTGCCTCCACCGTGCACGGCACCTCCACCGCCACCGCCGCTGCCACCACCACTACCTCCAATGGCAGCATCTCCGCCATCCGTGGCTCCGCCCCTGCTTTCGTCTTCAACCGTATCTTCTTCCAGACCGCTGTCCCCTCCGGATTTCATTCCTCCAGCACCTCCACTCGCTTTTGTGGTGCCCCCGGCGCCGCCTCTGCCCCCTCCAGCGCCTCCCACACTTCATACTCCCATCTCAAACGGCGTCTCCAAGTGGAAATCAGAAACGGTTCTGAACATGAGGCAGACGGACGCCAGGGAAAATGCCAGCGCCTCCTCTCTCACTGTCACCACTCCACCGGCCTCTCACCAGAAGGAAGAGTCGCTGACCAAGTCCACCCCAGAACCTCACCTAACTTTCCCCAGATCATTAAAAGTACCTCCCGCTGCCCCAGTGAGAAGTTCATCCATTTCCATGGAAGAAAAAGTTTCCGGTGAGGAAGATGGGCCTATTTCCAGACAGCCTCACACCCGCCCTCCCCTTCCGCCGAGCTTTACCATAAGACCTGCAGCCAAGGTGCACTTATCTGGAGAAGCTGAGCAGAAATCTACCTTGGATAGGCAGATAGTAACAAAGCCCGTCAGACAAATCACAGAACCCGCGAGCCCAAGACCAGGGTCAGACTCCGGCAAAGGGACTAATTTTAATAGCTATCGATCCTCATTGTCAGAGGCAGCAAAGGTCCCGCTGGAGAAAGCTGAAAAGGACTTAGGTCCAAAATCTGAGCTTCCTACTGCAGAGGAGGAACTGGACGTGCCCTCCCCAGACTACACATCATCTGATGATGACTGGAAGGAACCCAGTAATCTAAACAGGCTGAAGCAAGAACTGTCAGTTCTGCTGTCCTCTTCTTCGAAAAGGGAGGAGAGACAGCTGGATAAACCCATAACTGCCAGACCTACCAATAGTATTACTGACCATGCTAGCAATGATAGGTTTAGCTCTGTTGGGTCAAAACAAGCTAAACCTACTTTGAAGGATCCACAGTTACCAGCAGGGGGGGAAAGTGAGAGGAAAGGGAAGATACCTACTAATTCACTCACTGCAAAAGAGAACTCCTCCTCGGTTTTCTCTGCTCCAGTCAATAAACCCACCAACACGCAAGCAAACAGTGTTATGAAATTCAGGAACGAGCTGGAAGCACTACTCTCCCCAACAAAGGAAGCTAAACCACCAATAGGACTTACAGATCACAGACACAGTCCAGGCACAAACAGAGTTACCCTGAATTCTGGTAGCAGCCAGACAAATTCTGGTGACTCCAGGCTGCCAAAACCTGTTGCCAATCAGCTCCCACCCACAGCAGCTTCAGTGGAAGTTGAGAAGACACAGGAGGATCGTAAGACTCCCAGTGCCCTCACCAGTAATAAGACTTTGGAGAACTTAAACCCTGTTCCGGGATACCCGCCGTCTGACAATGTTCGGAAGTCTCCAGACCCACCTCAGAAACCAAAGGACCAACTCTTTGTTCTAGCCTCCTCTTCACCCTCCTCTATAGAGGCTACCTCTCCCACACAAACCTCTGGGCCATACACAGACTTTTCTCTCGTCCAATACAAGACCCATCGGGCCAAGACCAGCTCCACAGACAGTCTATGCTCTCTGACCCCCTCCCAAACTGTGGAGGAGGGGCCAGTCAGTACAAACAAACATGATGCAGAAAGAGGCACAATCCTGTGCTCTGCTGAGAAGCCACGGGTACCTTCAGAGCCATCCTCTTCCTCCATGAATGCAGACCAGGAGGATGACGATGCCCTGATCCACCCAGTCACAGGAGAAAAGGTGGAGAAAGGCTCTCCAATGGCTCTCCTCCTGGCTGCAAAACAGCGGGCCCAAAGAGGCAGGCAATCTGCCTCCCGCCAGAACAGTTATTTGTCCAAAAAGCCTCCCGTTAAGCTATCCGAGAAACTCAGCAGCGGCAGCAGCAGCCAGTCAGAAACTGGCTCGACCAACTTCTACTACAGTGAGTCCAAGCCCTACTCCTTTGTGGTGGTACCAAAGTCCCCGCCAAAGGAGTCACCTGCCCTTTTGGAGGGAAAGCAGCATGACAGGATGGTCACACCTGAAGGCAAGGCACTGGGCTTCTCGGAACCAGGACAGAGAGCCTACAAACCACTGTCGTTCTCCAGCACTTCTGAGCAAAGCCAGAGCATGCAGAAAACTAGCGCTGGGGAGTCCCAGCGCCTTTCCAAGCCAGACAGGTTTGGTGCCTCCAGTTTAGTTCAAGGCCTCCTGGAGTCCAGACACTTGAGACCACAAGACCTGCCCCCCAAACCTGACCTTCCCCTGTACGCTGCCTCTTCACCTCCTAGCTCCTTGCCCAAGGAGGAGGAAGAAAATGGAGAGAAGCTTGACTTCGAGATCATCCCACCACCACCAGAGTTCAGCAATGACGCCAACAGGGTCGAGGAAGCTTCTTCAAACGTGGCAGAGAGCCGCAGAGACCGCAGTTTCCCTGATTACAGCCAACCCTGGGAAAGGCAGCAGAATATCCGACGTCCAAGCTACGGCTATGGCAACAGTTACGTCCTGCCCTCCAAAATGGCCCCAGACAGCGGTACGAGGAATAGCGGCTTCAGTCAACATTACCCAGGTGGCAGTTACTCCACTGGCCCTCCTGTCTACAGCGCAGACAGCCGCCCGCTGATCAAGAAGCGCCTATACGTGTCTGAACCCGATAGGTCCTACACGAGAACATCCACGTCCTCCAGGAACGTTAGCACACCCGTGACCTATGGCCACAACATGGTGGGGTATGGCTCCCAGGCTGCAGAGGGGATGCGCCGGGTCAGCTCCACCCACAGGAGTGCCCCCAGCAGCACGCAGGGCAGGCGGATGTCACTGGAGCCCCCTGGGAAAACCATGTCTTGTAGCAACACCATGAACAATGCCAAATATAAAGGGCAGAATGGGGACTACTCTGCCGCCAGTGCAGCAGCAACCAGCAGGTATGTTCCACTTATTGCGAGGACAGGGGGGCTGGAGGGGTGTCCGATTTGAATCCCCAGGTCTGAACCCGTATCTGTGGTTCTCATTCTGGGTCACATCCAAGAGAGGAAGAGGCTTCTCCCCCAGTACTGGCTCAGGTGCAACTGACGTCTTTTGAGAACATCTTTGGTGCTCTCTCTAACTCAAACCCAAGACCTGATTCTTCCTTCCACCTCAGTCCTAGGCCTGACTTTCAGTTGGTTTTCCCTCTGACCCAGGCACTGTCTGGCTCCACGCACAGCCCCCTCAGCCATCTCTAATTATAACTTGTTCTGGAGGGTGCGGAGGGTTTGCTTAAGGGAAAAATATCCCCAAATTGAAGCAGTCTGTTTGAAGGGCAGGCCAGGCAGGGCAGGGAACAGGACCATGTCTTGCTCCACGTTTGCACTATGCCTACTAGTAACAGGGTCTCAATCATGATTGGGGCATCTGGGCGGCGCCGCAATACAGATACAAGCCAGAAAGAGCACTATGAGCAAGCCTTATCCTAGCTTCTTCCCGGAATCCTGAGACCCTTCTGCTGGCAAAGCAGGGAGAGGTGTGTCCCCTCCATGTGACATATGCTTCCCAAGGAGCGTGCTCCTGAATCGGTTTTAATTAGAGCGTGTTTTGAAGCAGATTTAAAATATGAGCAGAGGGATTCCTTTGCCTGGGGCGCTGTAGGTACGTCTTGTTGCACCGTCAGATAAAAGAATGGTGCACATTTAAAGGCACAGTGTGCCCACTGGTACAGGCCGTGCAGATGGCAGAGTAGTTATGGCTGGAACTGCCCTAGCCAATCTGTCCCTGCATGCGTGTCTTCAGAGTTGGGCTGTTGGATACTATGGCAACAGGCACTGGAGAGAACTACAGCTTGCTCTCCCTGGGTGCAGAATAAAATATAACTACAGGAACACAGTTATGCTTGCCCCTATCCCTCTTGGATGCCTTGCTGCTTTGTTTTATAAATGGCTTCCATGGCTTTTGATGACTTCCTCCTTTGTTTCCTCCTTCAGGCCTACCCAGGGCAACCCACAGTACAGTTCTCCTGTGAACACCTTCACTGTCAGGCCTGGGACACGGCAGCCGATTTCCTACACGTACCAAGGTAGCCATCGATAAGTTGGTTCAGGAGGCTGCTTTGCTGTCTCCAGTTACATAAACCCCACAAGCCTGTTCCAACGTGGTGTGACGCAGGATGGACCTTGACATGTCATTAATGATGAAGTCTATCCAGGAGTGGTTCTGTAGGAGCATATGGGTCTGCCATGGCTCCCAGAGTATCCTATAAATGCACTGCTTGCAAATTATTGGGGGCGAGGGTGAGACTAAAACCCTTCTCAAAAAAACAGATATGGAGAGTCGTTACTGGAGAGGCCCAGTTGCTACACTGTTGTCTTGGGGGAATGCCTTCTCTCTCCCCCACAGGACCATTAGGTAAATGCACTAGCCTATTAGGGCTTTTAAAATGTAAAAGAAAGAACATGCCCTGCATGGTGTTTAAAAGCACGATACAAAATTACTCGTTAGTGATTTTCTTTTGTTAAATTCAGTTTTAAACCTACTTTAAATGCAATTTATTTGGAAGGGGGGAAAAACTCCACTGGGAACCTGCATGACAAGGGGAAGGTGTCTGAATCCAATTATGCTAAAAACGGGATGTAGAAATGGGGAGTTTTAACAGAACAGTGAGAGACGTGATCAGAGCAGAGGATGGAGGATCTGGAACTCCTAGAAGCTAATCCTAGCTCTGCCACAGACTCACTCATTAGCCTTGGGCAAGCCAATTAGCTGCATGTTTTCAAAAGTGGCTTTTGATTTTTGAGGGCCTGTCTTGACCCCTGAGGTCCATGGGAGCTGTAGGTGCTTCAGTATCTCTGGAAAAAATCACCTTTGTGCTCTCTCACTGAGCAGCCAGAAATGGAGGTGTGCACGTTTAAAAGCCATTGCTGAAAATTTGGGCCTTAATGTCTTGTCTTCATTTAGCTCTTTTATAAATGGTGCTGGTGCTAATGCTAATGACCACGTGCCTCAGAGGAGTGCTGAGAAGATTAACTGGTTCAGGTTTGTGAAGTGCTTTGGAGATGGAAGACACTAAGTGATAATTGTCCTTAAATTCTGTCCATACTAATGGACATCACTGTGACTTACAAACTGTGTAGAGTTTTACAGTTCTCTTGTCCCTCAGAAGAATGCCCCTTTAAATGCCCCATTCTAAACAGTTAAGCAACTTGTTTCCTATACATTCATGTCTCAAAGGATGTGGTTTTAGTTTTAGCCTACTTTGGGGTCAGCTAATTTTTAATATAGTCCTTAAGTAGCTGACACACTGTCGTTTGGTGTGTATATTAGTGGTTTATAGCATTGTCTGTTTTTATCTATTTCTGTAAATGTATTATGGATGCACTCTTACCATCTCATCAGGCAAGCATGCTGCACTGTGTCTGCTTTCTTCCAGTTCAAATATCTGTCTGAATTACAGTCAAACAAAGGTTATCCAAATGAGATGGGAGCCATGAAAGTAACTGTAGGTAAACAGGGGACTTGAGTCTCTCTCTCTCTCTCTCCATATATATATAAAAAAAACACACACACGGGGATATCTCATTTTACATAACCAAAGTTTGTTGAGCTAATTTAGTTGGTAAAAGATACATAAACAAAACAAAAATCTAGTATGCATCAAAATAAACTCAATTAAAATGACTGTAAAATAAATGTAAAAACATGTAGAACATATTTTCTAGTTATGGACATCAAACAAAAAGCACTTTGAGACACTAGTCATTTTTTATTTAAAGCACTTTTTATTTTCACTAATATGCAATACCTTTTTAGTTCACTGAAGCTTTTCCCATGTAGTGTGTGTGTATATGTAAAAGGTTTTTATTTTTGCTGTTGGACTCTTACCATTAAGTGAAAAGTGAAAAACTTTGGCTTACACTATGCAATTTTTTAAAACAAGTTTTTTTGGTATGAATGTCATGTTGTAAATTGATAGTAAGTGTACCATTATTTGTAATTCATTATACTACTGACTTAACTTCTGCCCTTATTCCACAGTTGTCCCATATAGTGGATATAAATTTAAGTATTCTGGACTTCTACTTTGCTACAAATACAATGAGAATGCAAATATGATAAGTGGAATAGCTGAAATTCAATTCCCCTAATACACATATGACACACAATTCCAAATAAGCTTACTCCAGGTGGTATGCAATAACTAACACAAGAAATGCCAGCGTGGTGTTTAAAAATAAAATGAATGGGTACTGATGGAAGCAATAATTTTCTCTATATTGTAAGTTGTTGCCAAAAGTACTAGCGCTCCAATCCTGCAAATACTTAAGAACACATGCAACTTTTATATTGTACCTAGTTCTTTTGGAAGTTTATGGGATTACATGTGTGAGTAAAGCAATGCACTTTTTTTCACCATTTTCAGTTTCACACAGGCATGATTTTGCTGCTTAATGTAACTTTTTGCAAACTAAGATTCTGGCATCGACCTCTAATAACCTGAAATTGTGAATGCCAACTTTCCCGTCAAAACTGTTCAAAAACAAGCTTGGGAAATTGAAGCTTTGCTCATAAATGATCCATTTTCACTAAGGAATGGGCCTAGGTTGTTCTGGGTTTTGGTTTTTCCAAGCAAAACCCTGTAAAATTAGCCTGCTATTATGAAAACACAAAATCTGAAATATTGTTTTTTTGACACATTTGAATTTTGTTGCTTGTATTTCACGCAGTCCCACTGGATACACCAATTTGTATTGCTATTTTATGTAGTCTGGGAAGGTTTTACTTCCATCAAAAATTTGGTAAATGATAAATTAAATAGTTATATTGTTCATATTGATAAAACAGATTAGTTTATTTTGTGGACTAGAAAAACAACTTCCATTTTAATTTAATGTGGGCACCTACCCTTATAAATAGATGAAACAGTTTCTTGGAGAACAATAAAATGGTGTCTGTGGTGGTTAATTCAAGCCAGTGTTAATTCAAGTGGGATTTTGTGTTCACTATTATAAATGTGGGTAGGGAGGGTAGTGTGATTTATATTCTACTTCCTGAATGCCTGCTCCCTCTGAATTCAATGGCAAAACTCTGTAGACTACAAGGAGAGCTTCAGTTTGGTGCTTGGACTGGTTCCCAGTGGAGAGCTGCCACATTGCAAAAAATCACCATCCGAGTTATTGGCAGAATAAGCAGGGGGCAAAACCCAGATGGGCAATGAAGAGAGACTTTTAGGGAAGGACTGAGGTGCCTCCAGGTCAAGATGGAAGCACTTTAACAGGACAGCACGTGTAGTTTGCACTGTGCTGTAGATCAACACAGGACTTTATTTTAATTCCAGGGCTCTTAATTTGGCAATTTTCACCAGCTTTCTACATTCAATAATGGTGTTCAGTCTTTGTTTGCTTTTTTAATATAAAATCACCCAGATGAATTAATGGTTATATATGCTCTACTTGGTCACTGTATATAAATCACTGATATGGGTCGCTTCCAAAATGAATAAGTGGTTTATAGTCCATATTAACCTGATGTTTAAAACCTTCTAGTATTTTTAAACGATTTGCTTTAACTTTAATGAAAAAACTTGGTCACTCATTTATCAGAACTGTAGTTATTCCCAGCAAATGAGTATTTTACACATAAGCTACACTGGAGGTAGCATAACTGATATTTTTGCTTGTAAAATGTATAACAAACTTTTATTTATAGACTGTATTAAAATGTCACACACTGTGCAATCTCTCTCTCATTAAATGTGTTTCACTTTTGTTTTTGCTTGAAGGGGTTGGGTTATGTTTGGTTGTCTAATTAAATAAAACCTTTTTTTGACTTATTCGGTTATCCAAATGTTGTTTTAGAGATAATCTGCTCCCAATACATCTGGTGCAAAAGCATAATCTCCCTCAACTTTTAAGATTTAAGGAGAAAAAAGGAGGGTGGTAGGGATTGCCTGTCTCCTGCCATTGGTAAAGGACAAAAGAGCCTTTCATTTCTAGGTAACTGAAATTCAGCCTCTCTGTATAATTACCACCGTCTGTCTATGGATCAGTCCAGCTGACTGTCCATAACAAAACACCACTGCAGTTGGTACTGTCCTCTGTAGCAGGAGCACTAGCGAGTCCAAGGACTGAATGGGTATAAACAGTGAACTGCCTTTTCCCTTCTATAGGCCCCCTCTCTAGTTCTGCCTAGGACATCTGGGCAGGGAAGCTTATTTATACTCTCTACCACCCTCTTTCTATAGAATCATAGGACTCTAGTCTTTAGAGCTGTCAGTCCAGCTTCTTTCACTAGCACCGAAACTCACATATGCATTTGCAAGTCTTAACACGAGCGTCTTTTAAAATGGAAAATGCTTGTGTTACTCACACTACAATGAGAAGAGAAAAGACTGAGGCTTGTTTTAAACATAGCCTCCCTCTTTCCACTCCTCCACATTAAATACACATTTGCATTTCTTTCATTCAGCTCTGGTTACAGACCTGGACTCTTTACTCGGGAAGTGCAGAATATATATATATATATATATATATATATATATATAAATAAAATCCTAAATGCTCAACTTGGGAGGCACACCAAAAACTAAGATCAGTGTTCGAATGAGTCTAATAGTGGAGACATCAATGAATCTAACTTTCCACAGCCCTTTTTACAAATGGCTTCTACATAAATTGGGGTTTATGGTCCATGCCCCTCCCCACCCCACCCCCCTTTTTAAAGTGCTTCTAAGGCCCTGCCTATGTTAAGGAGGCTCACACACACGGATGGCTGTAGCTGTAGACACTCTGGTGCAAATCCCTAAAGCAGATCCCATACACTGATGTAAAATGGAGTTTACACGGTTGCAGTTTACATCAGTCGGTTACATGTGTGTGAATTTCCTTAGATCCCTTCAGCAGAGTTATTTCAGACTATTGAGAAGTCTGTTGCTGTGCAGAAAAATAATAGTTTTTAGCTTGTTCCCTTAAGTACAGTGCAGATAGCATATAGCTACCTCAGGCTGTTATTACTTACCTCTTTGGGGCTCTCTTTGTTCTGTATTTGTACAGAATCTAGCACTATAGGGTTCTGGTCCATAAGTAGGGCTCCTAGATTGTATGACGATAAGAAATGATGTCTGTTTTAGAAGCTCGGACGCACAAGCTTTGTAAAACTGGTTGAAAGATGGATACTAATAGCCAATGACATCTTTGTGCAAAATGGGTTAATGGAATGTGAGCAGGGAAGAACTTGTTTGCTGCTCCCTTCATTTAGAAAGATATTTACTGAAGAAACACTCATTCAGCATTTGGCAGAGAACTAACTGCAGAGGCAGAAGGACACATGAGTCAGAATAGAAAGCAAAAGTCAAACCACCACCAGCCAAACAAAATGGCTCATCCATAACTGAACCAGGTATGCTTGTCTCCAAAGCTATCAAGAACGGACCTACATGCCAGATTTCACTCCAGGGCCAAAAATACCAGCATCTCTGGAGATAAAGATTCCAGTTTAAATTAACAGCTGTATCAGTTAAAAACAAAACACAGTAGAAGCTCTCTGGCCGAGACAACTGTAGGCAGAGGGTGGGTGAACTTGCTTAACACAAGTCTCCTCTGACACACAATAAGCTTTTTCTTTACACAATCTATGCAGCCCACTGCATGTAAGTTAGTTCTTACACTAGCCTGGCATTCCAGGTCAGCTTTTTCAAGAGAGCTCATCTGCCATTAGAGCACCAAAATAAGTGACTGGATCTTCCCAGAGCTCAGCATGCTGGCTCCAGAACGCTGCCAACACCATTCTTTCTAGGTGCCTAAATGGGAGCCGAATGCTCCATATAAAAAACTAGCCCTGTAGAAAAGGAACAGATGTAAATGGATAATTAAATGATTCATTCTTCCATTTTTTCTCCAGGATCCACTGGTTCTCCAAAGGCAAACAGTGGTTTATAACAACTGAAACAGGGCTTACAGACTTAATTTAAGTTAGCTGGGGCCAGATTCTGCAGCTGCTATGCATACTGAACTCCCATTATCTTCAATGGGAACTAGGCACTAAACAGTTATTAGGGAGGCATTAATCAAAACTCCAGATAAGGCAGAGTCAAGTTTTGCACTTAAAGCAGGGATTCAACCTCTTTTCTATGAGGAATAAACTCAATTCCTTCTAGAATTATACATTTACCCATTATGGACAAATGAATGTTCTGAGCACCAAAATTTAAAAATGGGTCCTCTGCAGCTGACGTAAATTCAAGTAGCTGTAACTACAAAAAGCAAGATCAGAGGAATACAAAGGTGAGCATTAAATCACCTTGCACAGCTCCTGTCTTGACCTATATCCAGATCTGATAGCTGTGCTTTGGCAATACTTGCAAAATATGTTTGTTAGCATCAAGGGATATACAAGTGAATTGCCCCCCCCCTCACACTCACACCCTGCCAGTCCCCTAAATTACAGGGGCAGAATGAGCAAGTTAGATAAAAAGCCATTTTAGAGATGACAAAAATACCATTGTATGTTCCATCTGTTCCTAAATAATTTAGTTAAGCATCTATATAGCACTTAGCGTTACCCAAAGCACTGTATAAACATACTTTGAATGAAACATACCTCTGTACATTTTAACACTATGCAACTGAGTTATCAACATAACTTATTGTTTCATATTCTAGAGCACTAAGATTTCTGTTAACCAATTAAGTTACCAGTTCAGTTATCAATGAGCACTCTATTGCATGCAACACATGCATCCCTAAGGCCATAGAACAGGGGTCGGCAACCTTTCAGAAGTGGTGTGCCGAGCCTTCATTCATTCACTCTAATTTAAGGTTTCGAGTGCCAGTATTACATTTTAACGTTTTTAGAAGGTCTCTTTCTATAAGTCTATAACATATAACTAAACTATTGTTGTATGTAAAGTAAGTAGGGTTTTTAAAATGTTTAAGAAACTTCATTTAAAAATTAAATTAAAATGTAGAGCCCCCCAGACCGGTGGCCAGGACCTGGGCAGTGTGAGTGCCACTGAAAATCAGCTCACGTGCCGCCTTCAGCACACGTGCCATAGGTTGCCTACCCCTGCCATAGAATGTAATCTCCTTAGGGTGGAAAGTATGTATTCCTCCACCAGCACAATGAGGCTTAGATTTTAATTGAGCCATTTAGATTCTTCCACAGTATAAATAATAAAAAAATAAGGATGGGGCTGAAAGATGAGATATTTCTCTCCTTAAAGAAAGTGAGGGTTTATATTCAACCGTCAGAAATCGTAATATGAAAGCAGAGCAATACTGGGTATAGAAGACTATGTACAACTTTGTTTTAGATTTTTTTAAACTAGCTAGATAATGGCTTTTTCCAACTGCAATGTCTCATTTCCCATTATGCTGAAATATCCTGATGGAGAAGACCCTACCGGTTTAATGCATAATGATCCTGGCAGATACTCATTTACCTAAAAGAAACGGCTCAACTTTCAAAGAAACAAGATTCTTTCATGCTGCTCTCAACTATGAAATCAAGAGCTCCTCATTAGGTAACCCAATCAGAAATAGATAGCTGCTGCCCCCATGTGGTAGGACACAGGGAAGCTTAGCATTCAGAATAAACTATTAAAAAGTTTGAAGGGGAAGAGCAAAGCGTGTGTGCGCTACTGGCACATTAACAGAAGCACTGAATACTGATCTGACAACATACAATTTTATAAAACCAGTACAGTCTTAAGGGTCTTCGGACACACACCCAGCCCCACTGAGCCTGAGCTCAGCATCACCCCCCTTTTCATTGCGAGTAGTTTCACTTATGCCATGGGAGTTACAGACTCCATTAGTTTCAGCATTTGGTTTTAAAATATCCATGGGTTTTGACATTTTGGAGATTAGTGCTCATGGGCAGAGAAATGTGATACTGAACAGCTGCGCCAATCCCACTGAAAAATGTGAGAGCGGTCTTAAGTGGAAGCTCATTAAAAAATACCATAGGATTATAGCAGCTTGTCATGGATTCTGGGCTGAGGGGAACTGGAGACAACAAATATATCTTTGCAGTAAAGAGAGTCTGCCTCACTTAAGGTTAAATTCACTCCTGTTCAGGGGACCAGTAATGCGTAAGGCCGTATGCGGGCCACTTTGCACAGGGATGAATTTTATCCTTCCTGAGGATAACTGACCTCAGTGGTAGCTTCCGTGTTTTTACATGCTTTCCTGAGTAGGAGTACTTTGCTGGATCAGGCCTCTACCAAGAAAAAGGTTCTGCAATTCACAGCCAGGACCAAAACACAAATATATTGCATGTCCCTCTATGCAAGTTATAGGCTCCAGGTTTACTCTTTGGAGCAAATGCAAGATAAATAATGCAAGTCTTTGAAGAAAGTGTCCCAGTGAATCTGTACCCATTTAGAAATTAAAACTATGATTTATTAAAAGCTGCCTTCCATTTTTCAAAGACATCCACCCATTTCACATGTAAACAGCACAAGACTTGTTTCCGTTCTCACTACAGTATCACAGAGGTCCATGATAATAAGTACAAGGTTTTTCCTCTTCTTTTATTTTAAAATAGCTCTTAAGAAAGGTGTCTGCTTTTATAACTTTCACTTTTGAATACACTGCACTGAACCGGATCAGCATGTGTTCTCTGTGAAACATTGCACTATGTTGGAATTCATGAGAGCCAAGTTAGTTTTAAATGAATAAATGGAAAAAAAAAAAAATACACAAGGAAACTTATCTACCTGCCTGCAAATTAACTGTGGGCACTGCACAATTTGGGTCTGCTATGATATAATCTGTATAGGAGATCAGATGATGTTAACATTATCCTTCATTTTGATTTCTTGGCTCATACAGAACAGCATGTTACAGACTAAGAAGAAGGGAAGTGGCTTCCAATCAGGTACTTTCTGTCTATTTGCCTCATAATACATGGCCTGCTTAAATTGTGGAGAGGAATAGGTGGGGGCAGGAACCATACTGTGGACAAAATATCCAAACAGCAGCTGGCAACACACACAGCAGTGGAGTTTTTCAAAACCATACTGTAGTTTAAGGGAAACAGCCAGGTTTTAAAAACGTTATGCAATAAGTTACAAAAATACTAAAGGACAAGCAAAGCAAGTACTAGGAATTTGGGGCGTATGCCCCGCTCCCCAGCACAAAAAGCCACTTAACATAAGTAGTACAACAGAAGTCACCCTTTTATGAAAAGCTACCAGCAGCAGCTGGTCACAGTGACTTTCAGAAGAGAAACAAGTAATTTGAGCTTTCAGAATCTTCACTCTGACTCCAAGCTGTAACAAGGGAGCTCTTCCCCTCAGCTTTCTTCATCTCTTGAACCCTTTAAGTGAAATATCTGCAAAGCAAGGAAGCTGAAGTTTTGACCCTGGGAAAGCCCCAGTGGTAACTTGCTGTGGCTTCAGGGCTCCACTGAGGCCTGGCCTACACTAGGAGTGGGAAGAGGGGAAAAATCGATCTAAGTTACACAACTTCAGCTATGTGAATAACGTAGCTCAAGTCGATGTATTTAGATCTACTTACCGCGGTGTCTTCACTGCGCTAAGTCAACGGCTGACGCTCTCGTCGACTCCGCCTACGCTTCTCGCCCTGGTGGAGTACCGGAGTCTAGGGGAGAGCGCTCGGTGGTCGATTTATCGCGTCTTCATTAGACGCAATAAATCGACCCCTGCTGGATTGATCGCTCCGGAGGGTGTAGACATGCCCTTAGTGTCAAATATAATGCAGCCAACTAAACTACAAACATCTTTGATATAGACACGCATCCTGGAGAGCCCAGATCATAGTTCTCCCTAGATAATACTTCACCATGAAAGCACTCAAAGGCTGCACTGGACAACTGTGGGAGCTGCGCTTGGCATTCCTGCTGAACAGCACAGATCTCCATCTTCTCTCTTATTGACTATCTGAACGTTCAGATGTCCATTCACAGGACAGAAGTATAGACTAGCAGATTCTGTGCCTGCATATGGGATTCACACACTCAGAGGGAAGATAGAGCATCCTTAACTGCACTGGAGGTTGCATGAATGACAGTAATGGTGGAGCCTTTCTGTGCTATAAATATTGAACCAAGGTTTCCTGTTCATCTGTCAGGGTTAATTTACATTGCTCTTAATCTCATTGTTCCATAATCCCAACTCAGGCAAGGCCCCCACAAGACTGCCAAACTTTTTAACTGGCAGGAGAATTCTATTCTGCTACTTCTGTAAGTGGTTTGATATGCCAAGAAGAATAAAAGCCAAACCCTTTATGGTTTTATTTATTTATTTTTACCTAATTGCCCACTTCCCTGCAATTCCTTGTGCCTGAAATCAGAATTCTCTGGTGCAACATGTTAAAGCTTTATCACAGGTGAATCTGGACTCTACATCAAGGGGCTGTTTTTGTAATTAGCTCGTGCCTAATGCAAAGTTGCTACAGGACCTGCCTTCTTGGTTGCAAGCCATAAGTTCTGAGACAGGCAATGGGCCATAGACATCCCTGGTGCATAACACGTGGAGTTATACCGGGGATAAATCTGGACCAGTGAGTTTATAAAACTAGTCATGTACACTGTTGCTCCCAGCAGCTTCAGTAGTCTGTGTTGGAACTGTGTGGTGTAAAACTTGATGGTCCCATCCAACTGTAGAGAGCAAGGCCTTGTTCAAGGGAGACCACGATAGGCCTCTCACAAAGTCTCGATGAGAGCGACTTCTGAAACTGGGAAAAGCAGAAGACATAAAACGGGATTAGACAGATAAAATATTTTAATGGCCTCAGCACGTTACTTTACATTACGAACTACTACTTAGCTGCATTGTCATTCCTGGAAAATCCCAACATTCACACAGCCAGGCAGTGTTCAGTAACTAAATCCTGCTGATTAATATGCTATAAGCTTCTTTATCATCTACCCCCTTCTTGATCCCCAAACAGGCGTTCAGTTCAAAAAAGGCTCTAGCTTTGCTTTGTTATTTCCCCCAGCCAAGTCCATGCCTATAAATATGTGAGAGTGCATTTGATCCATTTCTGCAGTACTACAAAAACAAAACAAAAAACCCGACCTCTTTTGCATATAAAACGCACTTAACGATCATTTAATGACTAAAATTTCAAAATGCACCAAGTATTAATTGCATTTAGTACTTACACCTCTGAAAGGCTAGAGTCAAGAACAGCTACTGAGCAGTCTTCACTAATTGAAGCCAGAAGGGGCGAACTGGAGGGTAAAAGAAAGACTGATGTTAAAACTACTATATATACACCTGAAAGTTCAAAAGTAAACAACATATGAAACATATGCTTCTTAATGAAGTGAACAAAGACTACCAGGCAATATTATAACCCATATCTGCGCAAGTTTCTTTGACCAATATTTTAATATTCTATGAATATCTTATAGCTGTCAATCAGTATTAACAGGCAACATTCTGTTACTGCATAAAGAAAAAGAAATGAAGGTACAAGATGATTCAAAGTGGCCTAAGTGTTACTGACACGCACTTCCACATCACCCTGGAGTCAAATATACACTGCTAGCCCCATCCTTAGTGCAGAGCAGTATGAACATCTTTCCCCACGTGGTTCTTGGTTCAGAGGGTTTTTTCCTTTTTTTTTTTTTTAATAATTAAAGAACAGGACAGAATGGTTAGGGTGCAATATATACACAGAGCATTGGAAAGACAGTAGACAGAGCAGCAAGGTGAATGGACTTTACACATACATCCAACACCAATTCCTGTGCACTTCAAATCAACTTTACACATTGCCTATTACAAAAGGCTGTGGCCAAGAGTACTTCCAATTGCTTTAGTTCTGAGAGCCAACAAGGTCTATCTATCAGCATCTAAACTGCCTCATTCCACCATAACATCAGTACCTGTGTGTAGAAAATGCAAACCCAGTGATGGTTTGGGAGTGCACTACTGAACTTAGAGCGGAGTCTGGGTTCTTCGTGTCTACAAGAGCAACTGTCCCGTTTTCATCACCTTTAAAAGAACAAAGGAGAACGGGATTATTAGGAAAAAATCAAACAGAGAACAAAGAGCATTCAGTCACAATGTGTAATCTAGATAACAACAATCAGTTAACTTCATTAGCGTAAGATAGCTCCTTACCCAAAACAAATGTGTCACTTTGCTCTGGATGCCACATAACTGAGGTAGGGAGGTAAGCAGAGGCACTGCAAACTGTCAAGAAAAAAAACTATGGTGAGTGTGACGAGAACTGTGAGCTCAGATATTCCCATGTTATTTTAGCACCCTCAGTTGCTGATTGGCTAAGATTTTTTTTTTAAACTTGTTGTTGTACTTATGTGATGCTATTTTATGACTGGTTTCTTTGTGCTTTCATCCTAGCACTATCATTGGCTGAGATAAATTCTATGTGGTAGTAGAACAATACAAACTTAATGAATGAAACATTGCAAGTTTATCTCCTCCCCCTCTCCCCCAGAAAATTCCATGTATTGTATATCCACAGATTTACCGATTCGAGTAGCTGGTTTGGGGCATCTGGTATCCCACAGTAAAATTCTGTCATCCTATAAATTCAAAGTTAATGGAGGGAAAAAAAGAAGAGGTTTTATGAACTCTGTGCCTCCACATATCACATCAATGAATTAAGCTTTGGACTGGGAATCAGTCTGTTCTCTGTACTCAGTCTCTCCATGGGCTTGGATAAATCACTCTGTGCTTTTAGTTCCCCTTCTCTACAATGGGGACAGTCACACTTACCTACCACATCAGAGGGTTTGTATAGCATTTCAAAGGGTAAGTACTGCTGTGTAACTGCTAAGTATTATCAGTTAGAGGCAATATTGTGTATTTGAATCACAATACTCTGATAACATACATAAATATTTTGATTCAGATGATTTCATACAAGAGGGTTTTCTTTCAAATTGTGACAACTGCTAAAAGCAGAGTTTATTACGTATATTTTCATAAATATATTTTGCAATTGTATAGTGACTTCCCATCCTTTAATTATAAGTCCGTCTTTTCCCTCCCACACCCCAGGTTTAAGGTCTCTCTAAATTGAGATAATTTGTATCATGGTAGCTACACGAGTGTACACTTCCAGTATAGATGTAGTGCACCAATGCAGCCTACCCTGATTTCAGACCAGTGCAACCTCTGCATTACTCTGGTGCTGTGATCTGCAATAAGAGTTTAAACTGGGGTAGATATACCCTCAGTACAGACTGAGCCTTAACAACTACAGAGCTAGCCAACAGCATATTTCAATGTAGTCAATACAAATTATCGTTGTAAGTTATGGACCAATGAATGTGCCAAACTGGAATGCTTCAAAATGACAAAAAACACAATGTGCTACTTACTGAAAACGTAAATACATGTTTTAACTGCAGAGTTCACAGGCCAAATCAGATTTATACCATAGAGATTTGGAGACAGAGTTAGTTTTACCTCAGCACAGGACAGGAACACGGTATCCTTACCAGGACAAGAGGCCACACATGTCACTGGGCTGGAATGAGCTAACAAAAGAAAAAAAAGGATAAAGCTACTGAAAGGTTGGGAATGTGGATCAAGGCTGGATGCAACACCTAGCCAAAGAGGGGCACTGGGTGGCTCACTTGCACTGCCTCTACCTGGGCTGTGGCTAGGGGTATGTCTACACTACAGGATTAATCCGAATTTAGATAATTCGAATTTGTGAAACAGGTTGTATAAATTCGATTGTGCGTGGCCACACTAAGCACCTTAATTCGGTTTTTAACCACATTAATTCGGTGGTGTGCGGCCACACTACCCCATTAACTTAAACACAGTAATTCGGTGGTGTGCGGCCACACTAACCCTAATTCGAATTAACAAAATCGATTTAGGCATTACTCCGCTCGTCGAGGTGGAGTACAGAAATCGATTTTAAGTGCCCTTTAATTCGAATTAACTGGCTCTGTAGTGTGGACGGGTGAAGGGTTAATTCGGATTAACGCAGCTAAATCCGAATTAAAGTCCTAGTGTAGACCAGGCCTAGGAGGGATGTTACACCACCATCTTCCATCAGCTCTAAATTCACAAAAACTTGCATTAGAAAGTAATAAATATACAATTCTAGGGGAGAAATATTTTCAGCCCAGCACAATTACCATACAATGGATCCACCGAGAGGGGAGAGGAGAACTGTCACTTGTCAGTATGATGTTTGGAGGAAGAAATGAGAGCGAGGGAAATGACTCACATCCCTGGAAAGATGTGGGCTAGAAAAATTCCAGGAAGCCTACAAACCTCCTACGGATAACCCCACAAAACAGACAACTTTATAAATTGTGTTAAATCATAAACACTGTCCACTTGAAATATATTGTACTGTCATTTTTCCTTGAAAGCTGAGCATCATGCATTATAATCAGGATAAATACAATTGGGGTTAGTGGCAAGAAATCCAAAGTAAATAATCTTGGGTCAAAGATTATGGTGTGGTCACCAGCCAGGATGCTGCATATATCAGCTCTGCAGAGTAGTGTGCGTTTTATTAGATCGGGAACAGCTGGATTTGAAGTCCAGACTCCCAAAGCAGCTCCTAGAAGTGAATAGGAGAAGCAAAATCCGTAAGTCAATTTGGCACTCACCTCTGTAAGAGTGCAGCACTGTTTGCTGTGGGATGTCCCAAACCTTCACGCTACAAGTAAGAACACAACCAGTTAGGAAGAGCGAGGGATGATTCACTCAAAACAAGAGAGAGAAGCAGGAATGCAAAGGAAACTAACCAGAAGTCTTTGCTGCCACTAACCGCCTGAGTGGCGTTAGTGAAAACGCTCACTGTTGTCACAATGTCGTCATGCTCATATTTACAAAACTTGTTCACTATTAGAGTTTCGTTCTCATCCAACTCCCAGAGCTCCACAGCACCTAAAGGAAAACAGGGAAAGCCAACCATTTTACCGAGAGGGTTCAACCAAGAAACAATATAAAAGCCTGGGGGAGAAGATGCTCTATTCCCAAGAGCACTCATTACCCAGAAGGGCCCTGCGGCGAACTAGATGGGATCTAAATGGAAATACCCCCGTAGATAAATCAATTAACAGAGACAAAGTGCAAGAAAGTTTTCAAAAATGCCACCATGATCGTATTAAGAATATTAGGTAGCATTTACACGGTGGTCTTTATTTTCAAAGCACATTACAACACGTGCAATCAAAAACCTTAACAATGCTTCAATATTATGGTGATGAGCGTCACAGAAAACCCTAAACTACAGAATCTGGAACATCCCTCTGAGATAAATTATTATTATTACTCATGGCACTTAGGAGCCCCAGGCATGGCCCAGGACCCCACAGTACTAGGTGCTGTACAAACAGAACAAACAAGACAGTCCCTATTGTTATTCTTATTTTACAGATGGGAATACTGGCACAGAGCGGTGACATGGCTTGCCCATGGATTTACAGTTGGGCCAGGAACATGTTTCAGGTGTCTTAATTCCAAATCTGTGCTCAGGCATTGTTTACAAAGGTTCAGAATTGTCACGGTCTCCGCTGAGAGCCCAGGGCGAGGGGCTGGAATCCAGCAGTACATCTGATTTTGCATTGTAGGTCTGTACACATAAGTCTGTTTTTTACATGTTCCCCTGCCATTTCAAACAGGAGCAAATTGTTGTTGACCAATCTGCATGCCCACAATGTTTGCTTTAAAAAAAAAAAAAAAAAAAATTATGAAAAGTTTTTAATCCCACAAACACTCCCACTTCTGTTCAATACGGACCACTGAGCTGGTCCCCTTCATGTTGTCCACTTCCTTCCATATGGCATCCCAGACAACTCCCTTGATCTGCAGGAGGCCAACTACTGATCATGCTCACACATTACAGACAAACTACAGAGCTACAAAAATTCAATCCATTTTAATTTACCAGAATCTGAGGCCACTAGTATTCCTTTATCCGCTACCCATTTCAGATCCGCTACGCCTGCTTCCGTCTGAACCCCAGCAGAGCAAAAGCCTTCATTAGGGGCCCGTTCTGGATCCTTAAATACCCAAATGGAACCCACCCAACAACGTCCACTCAAGCTAGAAGCACCCAGGAGAAGAGCTCCATCTGGAAAAGAGATAAAAAGAAGAGAGAGAGTTAAAGCCCACAATTCCTGATATACTGAGCCTATACGTAAAGCACAATACAGAACTCAGGTTATCTAGGTTAACATAACTAAAGCATCATCTTGGCCGATAAAAGTTTTGGTTTGACTTAGCTAACACATGCTAAATAAGGGCTTATCTACACTTAAAATGCTACAGTGGTGCAGGTGCACCGTGTCACCGAAGACACTACCTACACCAACAGGAGAGCTTCTCCCATTAGCGTAGGTACGCCAGCTTCCAGAGAAGGGGTAGCTAGGTCGATGGGAGAAGTCTCCCATTGAACTAGTACTGTCTACACTAGGGGGTAGGTCACTTTAACCGTGTCACTCAGGAGCGTAGATTTTTCTATTCCATTTCTAAATTCTGTGGGGGTACGAATGGTGTCCTTGAGACCTGCACTGAATGAACCGATGTTGGGGGGCTGGGGTAGCAATGCCCAGTGGTTGCACTGTAGGCAGGTGTGAGAAAACTGTAGAGCCCTGCAAGGTCCCAAGAGAGGCACAGGGATAGACAACCCAGGGGCGCTCTCTCTGGGTGTGAGACTGTTCAGAAGCCCACTCTCAGGAGGGTAACACTGGGCTGCCGTGTATCCCAGGAGGTTGCATGGCGAGTATCGCTGGGCAGTAGCTGTGATGCACTGTCCCCCACCAGGGACGGATGACGTTCGGGATCCCCCAGAACGCAGTGCTTGGGATCACCCGGGGAAGTCCTGGGGCTCACGTGTGCCTGCGCACGGGGAGGCGGAGGGGCGCGGACCAGAGTGGGGTTCAGGCTGAGGACAGAAGAGGTGCCCTGGGGGCACAGCGTGGGACAATGCTCCAGGGGCGCAGGGCAGAGTGCCTGGGAAGGACATGCCCTGGGGAGGGGGAATGCAGGGGTCGCTGGGGTACCTGGGCGGTAGTGGGCCCCGTCCAGGTGGCGCTCCATGCAGGCGGGCGCGTTGGGCGGGATGTTCCACTCGGGCTCGCCCGAGGCCCCCCCGTCGGGCTGCTCCGGCTCTTGCATGGCGGCGGCGCGCGCGCGACTCCCACCCCCCGGCACGAGCAGACGGACACCGGCAGCCTCCACGTGCTGCTCCCGGGACACCCCGACTGGGCCACGCCCCCTGCCGGCGGCCCGGCGCTCCTCTCGCGAGATTTCCCAGAACCTCCGCCCAATGACAGGAGATTACGATTCTTCTCGCGACACTTTTACCGCTCCCGCCCCCACAGCTCGCGAGATGTTGGGCGTTCCTAAGCTCCTCTCGCGAGGCTGCCTTCGCCGTGGCCATCTTGCTGCTGCTGCCGCCGCCGGGGTCACCGGGACAGAGAGGGCAGCGCCGCAGCTCTGCCGACAATGCCGTCCCGCCTGGGCCTGGGCGCCGGGGGGGGGGGCCCCGCCCCGGGGGGGGGGGGGCCCAGCGGGGGCGGGCCCAGCGGGGGCGGGCCCGGGGCCTGCACTAATCGCTCCTCTGTGTCCTCCCGCAGCTCCGGCGGCGCTGAAGAGCCTGGCTCCCTCCCTCTCCGTGGGGTAAGTGTGGCCCGGGCGAGGCGCCGGGGCTCTGGCCCTGCCGCGGGTGGGGGAG